AATCTTCCTGCCCGTCAGGTCCATTCATTTAGAGTCCTTATCCTTGGGAGTGGGCTTGAACCTGCCCTGACAGGCTCTATCATTCACCACAGTTACGACCAGGGAACGTGGGGCCTGATGGGAGTAAAAACCCTCACATCCCTGCACCAGAACGAAGTAGCGCTTTTCCTTGTGCTTTGCTGCAAGCGGTACCAAAGCCAGCATGCTCCAGAGGACTTTAGCAAGCTCAAGGAGTGAATCATTAATAGGGAAGGAGACTCTCCCAGGGATAGATGGCTGCAGATAAGCATTAACATATGGGTGTTCTCTTGAAAGAACTCCGTTTGAATACCCTACGAAGCAGCCACACACTGCAAAAGGTCCTAGTATGCCTTGAAATCCTCCAGTACTGAAGGGGAGGAAGACTCAGGCACCGTTGAATCATCCAGGGATGAAGATGAAATGGTTAACTGTACCAGAACCGGACCTTGCTCCAGGACTGATGGAGCTGGATGGGACGACTACGGAGGCTCTGCGAGGGGAAGGCTCATTGGTGCCTGGGCCTGTGGTAGATCAATGGTACCACCACAGATCTGGTCGGTGATCTCACCTTCAAGTGAGACGAGGAGTGGGACTGCCATGACTAAGAAGTGTCTGACAGATTTCATGGAGGCCACTGGTATGGATAAGGCATGGTGGCCAGTAGGCGCAAGGCCAGGTGCCCCAGTCCCGAATGTGAGATGAACACCAATTCTAGTACCCATAGCGCTCCATAAATGGTCCCCCAATGTGGGTCAGGTGATGGACAGCGAGAGAAGGAAGAGCCCAACCTGGATGCGGAAGAGTAGTGGGCTTCAGGGGATAAAGGTGGAACCATCCGTCAGGGTGCAAGCAACTGGTCTGACTAATCCATAGCCCAAAACGAAGAGGGAGCGAGCGCCAACAGCAGAAATGGTACCAGCAGCACCAAGTATGCCTCCTTCGTTTCTGGTGCAAGAAGCAGTGTCGATGCCAAAGTTGGCAGCAGTACCAAGGTAACCGATGATGCCGAAGTGGAGGGCGATGAGTGCCGACAGGGTAATGTTGGCGGCGCCAGGTGCAGGGGTGCCAAAGACACTCCCGGTGCTGGAGAGGTCCTTCACACCAAGCCCAGCAGCAGCCCCCATTTCACGGACTGTGAAAGAGAAACAACAGAGTATGGTGCTGACAGACCCACAGGTTCAGCAGCCTGCCCAGCCAATAGGAAGATGAAGGAAGCAGCCCTGGCAAAGTCCTGGACCACGGGCAAGGTAGGGACAGAAAAGAAGAGGAAGTCCACTGCTACCAGATGCACCACCAGCGTGGAAAGAGACAGTGCCAGTATTGCCCTCATCAGTACCGGACTCAATGGATATCCCGGGGCTGGAACTGGAGACGACAGTACAGGGTCTCTGACCTCCTTGTGTGGTACTAGGGAGTGGTTGACGGGATTTCCTCCATCCTGCGCATTGGCATTCAGTCCATGCTCCTTCTGAAGGAGGGAGACGAGTCCCCATGCAACGTGGAATGGCCTGAGTCAGTCTTATGCAACCTTTTCCTCAGTGCACGTGATGGGGAACAACTCCTTCATCTCTTAGGAGAGACACCAGATCCAGGAAGCAAAGCAGAAGCACACCCAGAACCGGAGGGCAACATCCGATCTGACAAGGGCCTCAGTGCCGAAGCAAGCCGCATGTCCTGTTTGAGCACCTAGTGCTTCAAACGAAGATCCCTCACCACCAGAGTCTATTTGGTGAACGATCTATAAATGGGAAACCACTCCTTACTGTGGGCTTCACGTAGGCACAGCAAGCACCTATGTGGGGATTGTTCTTGGGGATTGCTCCCCCTCATGACGGACAATTTTTAACCCCGGTAAGGGCAATACTAGAGAAACACAAATTATAACTAACTACAGCAACACTAAGTAACTAACGCTATACTAAGGATACTAATTTCTAGTTGTATTTAATTAGTCACTAAAAATAGAGGGATTGTGAGGTGAAAACCATGCAGCGCTCCAACTCCAGTCACAGGCAGTAAGAAGAAACTGATGGATGTCACGGCGGCACTGCCTCATATAGCCAGAGGAGGGGCTATGGGCACAAGTGCCGCCTCTCTACAGGTACTGCTTGGCAAAATTCTCTGGCTCCTGTGTGCTAGGTGTGCACACACCTAAGTGGAATACACAACTGCATCTACTCAAAGAAGCCACCATGATGGCTGTCAGGTGGACTCTAATGGAAATTAGCGACAGTTCCAAGTTTTTAAAGTAGTAGAATGTAGTCCACTATATCTGACAGCGATGAGATTGTGAGTGGAATGTGTTTGAGGCCACACCAGCAGGCAAATCTTGTCCATTTTTGCAAGTGTAGCATGTAGATGGTTTTCTGCTGGAGAAGAGGCATATCTGACTGCCCTGAGTTCCAGGAGGTTGATGTGCAGAGTTGTTTCCAGACGTGTCCATGTGCCCTGGGCCATGTGGGTGTCTAGATGTGCATCCATCGTTATGATAACTGCAGGGGGAGGGCAGCTGAAAGTGACTCCTGCACAAACTTTGTGAGGGTATTTCCACCAATTGAGAGATTCCTTTATGAAAGCAGGTATCGAAAGTAGTATAGTTAGACTGTGTCTGTTCAGGGAATTAACAGTCCTGAACCACTTTTGAAGGCATCCCATTCACAGTCTTGCATGTTATATAATGAAAGTATCAGCTGCCATAGGCCCCAACAGCTGAAAACAATTCTTGACCAGGGTTTGAGGGCTGATCTGGACTGTACTGACTATGATGGATAGAGTCATGAATCTGTGCATTGAGAGGCAGGCTCTTGCCCCTATTAAATCGAGATGAACTCATATTCTAACTTTTGCACAGGGGTTAAGGTGGATTTTTGAATGTTCAATTGCAGATCGAATTGGAGAAAGAGGTCTATGGCTTCACAAGTTGCTTCCTGACCTTTCAGAAGCCAATTGTCTAGGTAAGGGACCACCACAATTCCCTTTCTGCGGAGATGTCCTGCTACTACTGACATGGCCTTTGGATGAAGAAGAAAAAAAAAAAAGAGTCCTTCAACATTTGCAGAGATTGTGCTTTCAGCAAACAATTTGGTGCCATCAAAAAGAAGGTCTTGACCGTATTCTGGACCTCCTTGGGAAATCCTGAGAGCAGAAGCCAGAAGGCCCCTTATAATTACAGCCATAGAAATCAAATGAGTGGCAGTATCACTAGAGCCAAAAGAGACCTACAAAAATATGTTCAGGTGAGCAGTTGGCCTTCTGCAATAATTGCCTGGAATTGCTCTCTATGTTCTGCTGGTAGATACTCAATAAAGGAGTTCAGCTTGGTATAATTTATATAGTTATACTTCACCATTAATGCTTGGGAGTTGGCAATTCTCAATTGTAAAGTGGCTGACAAATATACTTTTCTACCAAACATGTTGAGGCGTTTATGATCTGTATCACAGAGCGTAAATATAGCATGGTGCTGACTTCACTGTTTATTAACCCCCTTGACCATTAAGGAGTTAGGAAAGGAATGGGAAAATAAAAATGGAGTCCTTAGAGGGGACAAGATATTTTTGTCTGCACTCTTACATGTGGGCAGAATTGACGCTGGGGGTATGCCAAATAACCTTTGCAGGATCCAGAAGGGCCTCATTAACAGCCAGGGTAATTCGGGCAGATGAAACTGTCTGAAGGATGCCAAGTAGCTTATGATGGTTCTTTAACCTCCTCAAGATAGATCTGCAAACAATCTGCAACCTTCTTGATAAGGTCCTGCCACTTTACAATTCCGAATTGCCAACTCTCAGGCATTAAATTATACCAAGCTGAACTCCTTTATTGAGTATGTACCAGCAGAACTTTATAGTCTTTAGTTTTAACTATATTCTGAGTACCTGGGGAACCAGCAGCCTCATGGGTTGAAGAGAATTAGGGGCTGAAGCCACTGAAGTCATCTGAGACTTCTTTGAGATAGGTTCCCTACCTGGAAAACTCAAGGGATGGTCTCTGGGAATCTTATGAAAGGAATCGTGTCCTCAAGGAGTACGGTTCGGAGACAGTGGAGGCAGCGGTCTTACTCAGAGGCCAACATACAGAGGAGGTCCCCTGACCAGTGTCAGAGGCCGGGCATAGTGAGCTCTCCATTGTGAGGAGTCAGTTAGAGCTCCCTGTTTTTTGATGGCTCTAGATTTTAATGCCAGAAAGAAGTTGCACTTTTAGAAAAGATGAGACTCCCCGAGGCAACAGATGCACGAGGAGTGTCAGTCAGTCACCGGGAATGCCCGCTGGCACAACAAGCAGCGTCTGAAACCAGGAGAACTTAGCATGTCCTCCCAGTAAAGTAAAAACTCCCAGAAGAGGAGAAATTATCGATCTAAAAGATATATGTATATATATATATAAATTAATTAATCTTTTCAAAAAAGCCAAAACAACAGCTAAAACTACTACTAAGTACTAACTATACTAAGAACAACTATAATAAACTAAGTTCTAAAAGAGCTAAGGCGACACAGTTGGGGTAAAACAATGCAGGCTTTGTCCCAGGCCAATGCGGGTTAGAAAGAACTGAGGGTGGTTTCCACACGCAGTGCTATCTAACAGTACAGAGCACGAGACTGAGTAACACACTTGCACAGGCCAAATGGACACTGCTCTGAGAAATCTCCAATCAAAGGCACAGGGGACACAAGAGCACCTGGAGTGGAGCACCTATAGGGACAGTACTCAAAGAATCACCATAAATTCCCACATCTTCTAGCCACAGGTGACCCATGTACAATTTGAAGAACTGAACTGTATAATTAAGGAAATGATTCTGAGTGGGAAGCAAATGCATGAGTCTCAATTGTAACTCTGGAAAGGCTACTGCCTCTCCACAATATCTATAATTACCATATGTCAAAATCCAACATATACTGGATGATTTGTAATGATAAACATTTCTCCCTTGTTGAGCTGAAAATACCACGTATTCAGTTTTACTTAACACATACCTTTTCTCTCAGCAGGCAGCGATCATGGATTGTAGACAAATATCTATAATGAATTTTAATCAGTTGATCTAAATCTTTGGCTTCTTCTACCTGATGCTGAAACTCCAAACCTGTACTGTGAAGAATCTTTAAAAGAAAAAGCAAGGAGTATTAACATGAATACCACCTCTATGACTGGAATCTCCATAGTTCTTTTCTCTACACTTCTCTGGGGAGTTCTTTTTATCAGGGATTTGGAGCAATCAAATTTTTGAATTGCTCCGCTCCAGCTCCACTCCAGCTCCGGGCAAAAACCCAGGGCCGAAGCCCTCGGACTTCAGATTCAGCCCCGAGCCGTAGCAAATCTAACACTGGCCTTGGTGACCCCATTAAAATGGGGTCACGAGTCACTTTGGGGTCACAACCCACAGTTTGAGAACCACTGCGATAGAGAGGCTGCTCTTGTACCATGGACTGAATATGCCACTTCTGTAGGTGTTGATTCAGGGCATGCTACCATCATTAGAAATCCCAGATCCTGAAGGCCTAAGAATCAAGAGACTGGGACTGGAAATAGAACTCAGAACCTCTTGCATAACACAGAGCATCATCATTAAGAAAGTGGGCCAGCTTCCATCTATTCTCCTTTCAAAAAGAGTGTATTAACACAGAATGGCAATTCATATACAGTAGTAGGGTAAGTGTGGATCTGCACAAGTTCCTGCTTCACTTAAGAGAATATAAACTTTTGGAAATGGACATTAGTTAACTCCCAGAGGCACACATGTAAAGACACAACTTTTGCAGTAATGCTATTAGGAGTGCAGAATAACAGCAGCTTACTGAAATCTATTGTTTCTCTTGACATTAACGTCCTTTCTTTGCAAACCTTTGGGGTGAAAAGTTAGTCTGAAGAAAAGTGTTACTAATATCAAAGAATTATGTACATTAAAAACTCCTAAAAGTCTATTTAATATTTACTGATTTAAGATGTCTTACTTAAAATTCAAACAAACAACCAGCATGAATATTTTCAATATACATTCCTTTTTAGTTCAGGACTTAAAAACTGAACAAAATAGACATTAAGTGAAGACATTACTTATTTGCACATGCTTAGTCAGAAGTTGTTTTGAATTATTAGCTATGTTATGACTACAGTTAGAAATTCCTACAATACGTAAGATTATTGTAAAAGGACAAACCCTGGTCATGATGTAGTTGTGCAAGCTGTTAACAAAATGCATGAGTTTCACTCTTAAGAGGAACATGCGGTGAATTTGTTGTTTTATAAATTCTGTTTGTGATCCAAACTGAGGAACTATCTCTTGTTCTAATTGAGGTCCTTCCTTTAACTGTGGTTTTTCGGTAGCATTTACTAGTTCTAAAAATGAAGAGGAAAAAGTTTGGGTGAATATTTATAAAATAAATAGGTATTAACTACATTTAAATATTAATTAAAACTAAAATGTATCCTTTTTATTAAAGTTATCAGAACAATAATGTACTGAAATAGCTTTTGTCCTTTAATTCAGATACTTATCAGTATCTACATAACAATCATATATTAAAATAGTAACTGGGAGGGGATATTATGATGCAATTAATTGTTTGCTACATATTAAAGTGCCAAGGTTGATATATTACAATATTTAAAAAATTACATGAACATAAACTGTTATCTCCACAAAGGGGAGAACACTTCAAAGCCCAGTCATACCCATACAAATTAAAACTCATTTTAGCAAATTAGAAAGTACAGTTCTCAATATCTTCAGTGACACAATGATCCAATAGAGTTATAAAAGTCTTTAGGTGAAACCTGAGCCCAACCACTCAAACTCTCTGGATGACACAGTTATTTATTTTCAAAGGTTAACCAGAGTGGACTACTTTATATAAAACTCTTAATAGTATGAACACCAAAAGGCCACTGAAGTGGAATATTGGAAAAATCCCTGACCCTCCTCCCCATCACTCCCACACGCCCTACTGATCTTGACCACACAATTAAAGAGCCCATAGACTTTCTGCCAGCACAGGAAAATTAAACTCCCAAGTACACATTCTGACCTATATAAATTTACTTTGTAGTTTATAAAGGGTAAGTAACTATTTTCACAACCACTTAGGACAGAAAGTAATGTTACTGGTAAAATCATGGCTGTATTTGCATTAGGATATGATGCACAGGACTTCCTTCAGTAGCTATGGCTGAAGAATGACCTAGCAACAAATCTCAGAGATTTGAAAAAACAAACAAATCAAACAAAAAAACTAACTATAGCTGAATTAAGGTATGGTAGATGGTAGGGGTCCTTTGCAGACAAAGTAGGACTGACCAATTCTGTATTTGGTGCCTAGATACCATACCACAGTGATTGTTGCAAAAGAAATGCCTCAATAAATATAGCCAGCTATATTTAATAGGTGTGTTAAATGAGACACAAATATGATTAATTCTGTAAAGCCATCAAGGATCCAACTAGTTTATAATCTCTTATCCTGGATGCTCATACATCCATTACCACAAATGAGAGAAATTTGCCATCAAGATGGATGGACACTGCCCCCAGCAATGTCAATTTTACTTCAAAACTTGACTTCCAAAATAATTTAACTGCATACATATCAGAAAAGGATTCTCACCATGGGCCTTATTCGAACACCAATGAAGTCAATAGAAAGACTCCAATTAATTTCAGTGGGTTTAGATGAGGTTCCATGTAACTTTCACACTGCCCTGCTGAGCAAAATTAATTTAGCAACTATCTTTCCCAGCACCTTGTAAATGTTACAAAAAGGAGCTATTATGCTGCAATACTGACTTTTCCAAAAGGCTACCATAATACTGGGTGTATTTAAACAACTGTCAATAGCATGGATACCAATATGCCATAAAACAAGACCTTACACACCTCTACCCCGATATAACACGACCCAATATAACGCGAATTCAGATATAACGCAGTAAAGCAGCGCTCCGGGGGGTCGGGGCTGCGTGCTCCAGCAGATCAAAGCAAGTTCGATATAATGCGGTTTCACCTATAATGCGGTACGATTTTTTGGCTCCTGAGGACAGCGTTATATCGGGGTAGAGGTGTATTTTCAGTGATACAGATTTAAGATTAACAAGAAATATTTCAAGAAATTTCTTACCATCAAATCGTAAAACATCTAAGCTATACTTGGCCCACTTTATTTGTAATAAGAGAAGAAACACTTGATTGTAAATTTTTTGACATTCTAAACTTATAACTATATCCACAGGCCAAGGAACCTAAAGAGGAAAAAACAAAACAAAAAACCCTTAATTTGATGGAGCAATTTTCTGTTACTTCAAATGTATTTTAAAATTAAAGCAAAAGAAACATTATATTTTACCTTGTAGCTCAATGTTAAGCCATCTAAGGTATGGACAGGGAGTTTCTTCTTTGCTGTATCAACACTTTCAAAAGATATAGACAGCCTACAAAAAGAAACAAATACTCTAGTTGCCAATGGTTTGCACTAAGCTGGTGGTTATCTTAAAATGTTTTATTTTAATCTGTCATTACTAAATATTAAGGATCAGATTTAACCTGGTAGGGAAAGATTTGTAAAGATACCTCTGCTCCAAGCTTTGTATAAAGATTGTATAACATAGGGGTGGCCAACCTGTGCCTCCGGAGCCACATGCAGCTCTTCAGAAGTTTATAGGCAGCTCCTTGTATAGGCACCAACTCCGGGGCTGGAGCTACAGGTGCCAACTTTCCAATCTGCCAGGGGGTGCTCACTGCTCAACCCCTGGCTTTGCCACAGGCCCATCCTCCACTCCACCCCTTTCCTGAGCCTGCCATGCCCTCACTCCTCCCCATCCCAGAGCCTCCTGCATACCACGAAACAGCTGATCAGGAGATGCGGGGAGGAAGGGGGAGGCACTGATTGGCAGGGCTGCCGGTGGACAGGAGGCGCTGGGAGCGGGGGGCAGGAGGGAGGGGAGCTGATGGGGGGCTGCTGACGTATTACTGTGGCTCTTTGGCAAAGTACATTCTGGCTCCTTCTCAGGCTCAGGTTGGCCACCCTGGTATAACAGAATTACTAATCAAGACACTATTGCAAGTGAATATACAGGGGAACTTATTGTGTCGGAAAACAAAAACAAATGTCTACAGGTAAAATTTAGTTCTAGTGAACAGATTAATTAATGCTCTCATACTTTAAGTAGATAACAATCATATGTTTATTTCCACCATACTGCATTTTGAATACTCTATCAATGCACACAATAGTTTCTAACACAAAATGCAGTGACAGAATGACCCAAAGTGGTTGAACTTACAGCTATACTGATGACTAAGACCACAATAGAGCCTAATATTTATGTATTTCATAAACCTATCATTTCAACAGGAAGATAGAAGGAAATTGAAAGGAAAAAAGTCATTTTTACTCTCAACTTAATTCCATGCATTTTACCTTGAACTGTCCTCTGGGTAACGTTGTCCAACTGCTTCCTGGAGTTGAACATTTAGAAATGATACATTCTGCCAAGTTTCCTTTTCTCTTATTTTATCAAAAATAGATGTGTAGAAATCATACATAGTATCCCCAGCTTCAAGCAAAAAAAAGTTTCGCATTGCCTGCAAGTACTCTACCAGCCTGAACAGGGAATACAAATATACAAACATCTCTTCAATCTGCATTATATTCCTTTAACATAAAATGTCACATTATGTAATGCAAACCTTTAAAAGTCTCATCATCACAAGAACTCCCAACTGAATCCCATACTCCAGTGAAGTCTATTATACATTACTTTTTCACATAAACATCACTTAGGCCCAGATGTAGCAAAATACTTAACCATGTGCATAGCTCAAAGCATTGAAAGTAGTGCCACTGACTTCAGTAGGACTAGTCATGTACTCAAGCACTTTTCTGGATCAGGCCCTCAGTTCAAGAACAGCTTTATGGGGAGAAATAGTGCATCTGGGGACCGACTGGCTAAGCAGCAGTTCTGCAGAAAAGGACCTGGGGATTACAGTGGACAAGAAACTGGATAAGAGTCAGCAGTGTGCCCTTGTTGCCAAGAAGGCCAATGGCATATTGGGCTGAATTAGTACAAGCATTGCCAGCAGATCGAGGGAAGTGATTATTCCCCTCTATTCGGCTCTGGTGAGGCCACACCTGGAGTATTGTGTCCAGTTTTGGTCCCCCCACTACAGAAGGGATGTGAACAAATTGGAGAGAGTCCAGCAGAGGGCAACAAAAATGATTAAGGGGCTGGGGCACATGACTTACGAGGAGATGCTGAGGGAACTGGGGTTATGTAGTCTGCAGAAGAGAAGAGTGAGGGGGGATTTGATAGCAGCCTTCAACTACCTGAAAGGGGGTTCCAAAGAGGATGGATCTAGACTGTTCTCAGTGGTGGCAGATGACAGAACAAGGAGCAATGGTCTCAAGTTGCAGTGGGGGAGGTCTAGGTTGGATATTAGGAAACACTATTTCACTAGGAGGGTTGTGAAGCACTGGAATGGATTACCTAGGGAGGTGATGGAATCTCCATCCTTAGAGATTTTTAAAGCCCGGATTGACAAAGCCCTGGCTGGGATGATTTAGTTGGTGTTGGTCCTGCTTTGAGCAGGGGATTGGACTAGATGATCTCCTGAGGTCTCTTCCAACCCTAATATTCTATGATTCTATGATCTCTCTAACTGCAGAACCTGAAAAAATTCCAACGTCATTGGGAGTTTTGCCTAAGTAAGGGCTCCAATATCAGTTCCTTAACTGTTAAAAAAAGGGGAAGAAGGGGTAGTAGTACTTCCCTATTTCACAGAGGTGCTGTGAGGATGGATACATTTAAAGACTGTAAGGCACTTAGATACTATGGTGATGGGGGCCACATGAGTACCTTAAATAGAAAGACTGTGACTTAGGACCAGGTCAGAGGTCATGAGATCAGGCCACTTTACTCAACTCAGCATGACAATATCACATAATTAGTGGTCGTGTAATGGCCAAATTCAAATTTAGATAATCATATTCTGTCTTCCTAAAATTTCTCCTATATTTTAAGCTGACTGTGTGAAAGCCTGGTTCCACTGAAGTCAATAATAGCTTTGACATTGACTTAATTGGGGCCAGGATTTTACGCATTGTTCTTTCTAGGAATATTTATATTTGTCAATTTTTAACTGTTTTCATACTTCTCTACCCAAAAGTACTTAATACCATAATCTAGTGTATGAATTAAGACATGTGTTTACCTTTAAACGTTATTTAAAGCAAATATATTAAAATACTACGTTTTTAATCAAGCTGCTTACACTTTACTTTTTCTTTGCTTATCGTTATTATTTGTATTACAATACTGCTTAGAGACCCAGTCTGAGACTGGACACCCACTGTGCTTCAAGCTGTATAAATACATAGTAAGAAACGGCTCCTTCAAAAAAGACCTTACAAACTAAGGGCTTGTCTACATTTAAAATGCTACAGTGGCACCGTAGTGCAGCTGCACTTCAGTGTAGATGCTACTTACAGCGACTGGAAGGATTCTCCCATCACTGCATGTAATCCACTTCGCCGAAAGGCGATAGCTAAGTCTTCCGTTGACCTAGTGCTGCCTATATGGGGACTTAGATCAGCTTAACTATGCCACTCAGGGATGTGAACTTATAATACCCAAATGATGCAGTTATGCCAACATAATGTTCTATTGTAGACTAGGCTTAAGAAGGTAATACAGACAAAGGGATAGAACACAAAAGAACAACGAATAGAGTGATGATTGGAAAATATTATGTTAATTCCGCATATTAGTGCTTTTGTTATTGTTTATCACTGCAGAATTAGAAGAGAAGATTAAACAGTTCGTAAAAGATTTCAACTACAAATCAATTTTCTTAAAATAATTGGTGCTTTTACAGTATGGTATACCAATTATAATGGAATATGCTTTTTAAGTAGGACCTAATTTCATTTCTTACCTGTAATCCTTCTTTAAAGTTTGCATTAGGTTGCCACAGCATTCCAGATATTGCTTATCTATATGAGGATAAAGGCAAGACCTCAGTGTCAGTTCAAATGTCTGGCATGTCACTGATTCAGAGGATCTATCCACGCAAACATCACCACCAGTAAATTTCTCATGAAAGTCACTTTGCTCCAAATACAGCCTTCAAAATAAAAAAAACATTGCTTAGTTGGAAAGGAATTGATCCATATAATACTTAACAGAAAGTGTCATACATTTAAAACTTTGTGGTCTCATTTAGCTTTCTGCTTAAAAATAAAAAAATAATAAGGCATTGAAAAAGTAGTAAAAAGTTCATTCCAGTACTGGTAACTCAATGGATATTAGTGCCTTAACTCAGACAAGCCCATTATTTCGAGTCACTATTCATACAACCTTTGTATAACAAGGCATAAGAGTACTAATTTGGATGATGTGCTATAACCACCTAATCACTCACTGTGTTTATGCCAGTTCTTGTAGTTCTGAAAAGCAATACCAGTACAAATACTGTAGACCTCAATAAATAAGAAAAATATTTGTTTTATATGATCTTTTAGAGCTAGACTGTGATGTAAGGCCTAAACAAGGGGTTATCGGTTTTCATATATTCCAAGCCAGAAAGGACCACTGTGGTTGTCTAGTCTGTCTTCCTGTATAACACATCACAGAATTTCCCCAAAATAATTTCTAGAGAATATATTTTAGAAAAACATCAACCTTGATTTAAAAATTGCCATTAATGGAGAATCCACTCTGACCCTCAGTAAATTGTTCCAGTGGTTAGTTACCATCACTTAAATATTTACACCTAATTTCCAGTCTAAATTTATCTAGCTTCAACTTTCAGCCATTGAACATTCAGCTATACCTTTCTCTGCTAGACTGAAGAGTCCATTATCAAGTACACCTCTACCCCAATATACCATGACCTGATATAACAAGAATTCGGATATAATGCGGTAAAGCAGTACTCCAGTGGGACGGGGCTGCGCACTCCGTCGGATCAAAGCAAGTTCGATATAATGCGGTTTCACCTATAACGCAGTAAGATTTTTTGGCTCCCGAGGACAGCGTTATATCGGGGTAGAGGTGTACTTGTTCCCCATGCAGGTACTCGGATGGTAATCAAGTCATCCCTTAACACTCTCTTTGTTAAGCCAAATAGATGGAGCTTCCTGAGTCTATCATTACTAAGACAGGTTTTCTAATCCTTTAATCATTCTTGTGGCTCTTTTCTGAACACACTTCAATTTATCAACATCCTTCCTGAATTGTGAACACCAGAACTGGACACAGCATTCCAGTAGCAGCTGCAAAAGTGCCAAATATAGATTTGGGTAGCCTGCGTATAGCTATAAGAGGGGGATCTTATTCAATGCACAGCCACATATCCCATTGAGAGAGAGATTATGACTTGAGCTAAGACAAACCTTGGAAGTTAGGAGAACTCCAGCCCTAGGTAGGGGTGGAAATACACTGCTGGAGCCAGTTATTGGATCTCTAGAAGACAGGTAACAACGTGTGTTGGGGGGCGGGGAGAGAAAACAGCGACCCTCCCTGCCAACCCTCACCAGAAGGTGGGTGTTTCCTTGCTCCATATGGTGTCCTCCAGTGGAGGACATGGGTCACTGGGACGACCTGGGAGAAGGGGGAGCCCAATATGTCTTTCTTCTCTTCCCTTTCCCACCACCCTGCTACAGCAGCTCTAGGAGCAACCTGGTGTTCCTAATGTACCACATGCTGCTGCCTGCTGTTGTGGCAGCAATGGCAGCTCGGCCTTAAAATTTTCCTGTCCAATTATTATTTTGGCACATTGTCAACAACATTTCCCAGAGAAACAAGTAAGAGAAGGTAAATGGCAATTTGTAAACAGTATATATCTCAGCAAAAGCTGGACAGAATTTAATCAGACAAAGAAAAGGTGCTCTGGTAGCCTGAAGGCTTTCCCCCACTGAATACCCAAGGCCAATTGCAAACAACAGAGGGGTAAGAGTCTCAAAAATAAGGTTGCAAAAAAAAAAAAAAATTTTTATAATGAAAAGTGTTAAGTAACTTAAATATAGTGGTCACTACTAAGGGCTGTTCAACACTAGAAAATGAGATCAACCCATCTCCTTCCCTATTTAGGCAGTGCTAGGTCTACCTAAGAATTCCGGACTGTTGAGGTGGTGGATTAACTATGCCAAAGGGAGAGCCCTTCCCATTGGTGTAGGTAGTGTCTGTTATGCTGAAGTGCTACAGTGATGCACTAACTCTCCTTATAATATTATACCATTGGAAAATCTTTGAGTCAGACATTTAACACTTAGGGTAAGTCTATATGTACAGCACTGCAGTGGCTTAGCTGTACTGATACACCTGCACCACTCAGCGCATCTGGTGAAAACACTCTATGCCGACAGATGAGAGTCTCCCGTTGGCATAAAAAAAACCACCTCTGCAAGCAGCATAAGCTATGTCAATGGGAGAAGCACACGAACACTTATGTTGGTGTAACCTATGTCACTCGGGGGGTGGAATATTCACATTCCTGTGCGACATAAGTTTTGCAGACATAGGCTGTAGTGTAGACATAGTATTAGTAAGCCAAAGCCAATTAGTTTATCAGAGTAGGGTCAAAATCATCATTACAATACAGCAAAAGCTATCAACAGGTAAAATCATTGTAGTGCAAGTCTGGTTTCCATCACTTCAGAGCAGAGATTGTCTTGATCGACAAAAGGACTGAGTTAACCAGCCTATCAATTTTTAAGAGAATATTCTCATCCACTGAGAGAGATTATGTACATAGCTCAACTATTAATTACAATATTCTTATAATACATTGTATTACCTGTTAAACTGTAAGGTTGTTTAACTTCACAATGAAAGCTTTTAAATACAACCAAGAACTAAAGGCACCATTGTTACATCAGAACTCTTTTTGAGAAGCCGGAACACCGATCTACCTATTGGTACGTAAGAGAAATAAATAGCTAACATTCTCACCACTAATTATTACGACCTATGTACGACTGTTAAAATCAACGTGTTGCTGCTCTGCTAGTTTCCTCACATTACCCTATCACAAAGGAACAATTATTTTTGTGGCAATTAACCTTTTTCCTGAAATGTTTGTTTTAAACTATTAGTACCACAGTAGAATTTTGCAAGATACATCTTTGTAATGATCAGCCAAAGAGAATGATTCAAATGAAAGACATTTTACATAATGTGCCATGCACACACATTAAAAATATTACATTTTGCTACAGCATTTGTTCTATCATAATTCATTTGAGAAATTATATCTATTTTTTTGTAATAAAATTTGCTATGCTAGAGACAGTTCCCATTTTCTATACTAAAAACATTTAAGTCCTGCTAGATGTAGCAGGCATAAATAGAACCGTTCTTGAATACTCATTTTAATAATTTATATTTTTAATGAACCTTTGGCCAGTCATAAGCTGCCTGGGACAATGCTTAGTCATGCTCCTCTTTAGGCTTGTTCCTGAGCTTGTTTGTTTTAAGCAGCAATAGCAAAAGTTGCTGCCTTGTGGCTTCTGACAACAGTGGTGAGATTGGTTATCTTTCAGGTGTTCAATTACCTAGCAAAGTTAATAGCCAGCAATGGATCATGAACATCATCCAGTTCTAAGTGTCTCTCTGCTATAGACTGCATCTTTATCAAACTCTGCTTTGTAGCTTGTTGTTCTGTAATAATATCTGGAACAGATTCTTCCCCATGCCGCAGACGAGACTGCACAGACTCCAGAAATAGTGTGTACAAACTCTTTCTTTCTGCATCTGAAGTGGATAGTAAAATATATGGTAAATATTATTCTAAGAAACAGTGTTGATTATACTAGAACAACTAAGTTAAGGAGATTAACATAAACCCAGTTTTGCTTGCTATATTTCCATATGCAGCATCAACAGTATCTAGGCTGTGATTCGCAAGGTACTTAAGCACATATCTAACTTTAAATATTGATATTAATAGGACTATTTGTATGCTTAATGTTGGGTACATACTGAAATATCTTGCTGAACTGGGACCTAAAATATGAAATTAATATTTCTGAAAATATTAAACCCTTAAAGACGATGGGTATAAAGTAACTGTCAGCCATTAATACAAAACTTGTTTTAATGACAGTTTATCCTCCCATGCCAAAAGGGATAACACAGATATAAAAAGCGGTCGCAAAACAGTTCAAAGCCACCTCACTCTACATTTAAATAGAAAGGGACTTGTATAACCTACAAATAGCTAATTTATATTGACCCACGTGAAGACAACAGACATCACAGCTCCCACTACTGTCCTTTGTGTATCATAATTCATGCTGGTTACTCCAAACATTCCGCATGCTTATAGTTGTATCAAGGTCTTTGGGCAGATCACCAACAGGCTTTCCTCAAATCAGGAATCCTATTTATTACCTATCATCCTTAAACCAATGAACTACTCAGTAATGGGAACCAACTGATTAATCACATAATAAGAAAATAGTTTTATAGTTTGAATAAAGATCTTAAATAGTACAAACTAACAAGAGAGAATTTAAAATAACGTTTAAGAGCAACTTAAAACTGAGAAAAGCAAAGAAATTCTGAATTAAGGTAAAAATTCAGTTCTTCTCACATTGTTGTGTGTGTTGCATGCATCAGGGCTCTTGGAACAGAACTAGTTGTTTCAAATCAGATGAAGTTACAAACCACACAGTGCAAGCATAACAAGGAGAGTTATATACTAAACAGTGGATTATAATGGAAACACTAATACACCCTAAATACACAAATACTGTTAGATACAGAGAAGAAGAATATTTTACACAACTTATTTTCACCTCTTGATGCAGCTTGCCGTGGATAATCATCTTTGGATTGTAGGTTCTTCAACAATTGCATGGACTTTCCAGCCATGATGATTTGTTTAAGTACTGGTTTCAGAAAGGAGACCATTGTGTGCTGCCTACTTGAGGGAGCCTGATCACTGCCAGAGCTGGCACTGGCATTATCACTCATTTTCTCTTCATTCTCCATCTTTTCTGACACACTATATAATGTGTAGGTAGCATACCAAAAATCCCTGTGATTAACTGGGACATTTTTGTTTCTACAACAGAGAGAGAAAATCGTTACACTTTATCCTTTTAAAAAGATAAAGCTTCCCTATTAAATAATAATATAAATCTTTAATTTATATTTCACCTTCTATTTGGAATTATCCCAACGCACCATAGAAATGATAGAATCATAGAAATGTAGAACTGGAAGGGACCTCGAGAAGTCACCAAGTCTAGTCCCCTGCACTGAGGCAAGATGAAGTCAACCTAGAGTCTAGAAGACCATCCCTGACAGGTGTTTGTCCAACTGTTCTTTAAAACCTCCAATGATGGGGATTCCACAACCTCACTTGGAAGCCTATTCTAGAGCTAAATGATCCTTATAGTTAGAAAAGTTTTTTTTTAAACAGCTAACCTAAATCTCTCTTGCTGCACATTAAGCCCATTACTTCTGGTCTTATCTTCTGCAGACTTGGAGAACAACTGATAAGTCTTCTTTGTAACAGCCCTCAACGTACTCGAAGACTTATCAGGTCCCCACTCAGTCTTCGTTTCTGAAGACTAAATGTGCCAAGTTTTAAATCTTCCATCATGGAAGGTTTAGAAAACCTGGCCTATCATTTTTGATACTCTCCTCTGGGCTCTCTCCAATTTGTCCACATCTTTCCTAAAGTATGACATCCAGAACTAAACACAGTACTCCAGATGAGGCCTCACAAGCACCAAGTAGAGCAGGACAATTACCTTCTAGGTCTTACATACAACGCTCCTGTTCAGACACTCCAGAATGTTATTGTCCTTTTCCGCAACTGTCTCATGTTGTTGACTCATTCAATTTGTGATTCACTATAACTCCCAAATCCTTTTCAGCAGTACTACTACCTACCCAATTATTCCCCATTCTGTATTTGGGAATTTGATTTTTTCCTTTCTAAGTGAAAAACTTTGCAACTATCTTTATTGAACAACACACACAAAGTAATCATTTCACCTATGATTGACACACAGCCATCTCTAGAATGATGGTAACTTTAACATCGCACAGAATCATTGCACAATAGATTATTAGAACAAGAAACAAGAGACTATTTGTGACGGGGTGGATTAGTGTCCTGACACACCCATCCCAGGAAAGGAGCAGAACAGTAGTACTTCAAGCAGCCTAGAGCAGCCAATCAGGGCCCAGGAGGGCCGTACAAATAGAGTAGCAGAGCCAGAGACAGTCAGTTCCTTCCTGGAGCTGGAGGAGCACATATAGTGCTCCTGGCCGGCCAAAAGGAACTGCAGCACCATGAACAGCTCAGTGCTGGCTCCTGAGCCTGAACTTAGATGAGCCCTGAGGTAAGGGTGAAGCTTTGGTGAAAGTGGGGCCATGGGGTAGTGGCCTTTGGAATTGAAGGCAGTTTTGCTAAAGGGACATGGTGGCACATGGCTGCTATTCTTAGGGTCCCTGGGCTGAGACCCAGAGTAGTGGGTGGGCCTGGGTCCCCCGCGTAGGCCACTGGGGAACTGGCCTACAATCAGACAGTGATAAACCCCCAGAAGGGGAACTGAACTACTTAGTGGCCCGCTGGAGAGCTGAGACCAGGATAGACCAAGAGGGCAAAACCATTGCCTCCAGGGAGAAAGCCCTGGTGGTATAGCCCAATAACAGGGCTCGAACTGTTTAAAGATCAGAGACCCACTGGCCCAGAAGGGGTGCTTGTGTGAGATGGGTGCCATGCTGTTACACTACTATATACAACTGAAATCCAGGAGAAATGTAGGTAACCAGACCAAAACCTCAAACTGGAATTTATCCAGGAGGTCAATTATTCAAAGTGCCATGGATCTTTAATTACAAATGATTGATGCTTTTAGGTTTACTTAATAAATAAAATAGAAAAACCTACATCACTATGTAGGAGTCTCCATACAAATAACTAAAGTGAAACTGAATACCACATAACGCACACGTGTCTGAAATACCTCAAAATTTAATACCCAACACATACACAACAATACTTTAATAGCTTCTGTTTTAGCACATCCCAGTAAAAAATAGGTAAAACAATTCTCATGGGAAGTTAAATTTATAGATAAGGCTTCCTTCTCAACTACTGTTAGTTAACTGCTAAAAATAATCTAATTGTACATTAACGCCATCCCAAATAGGCGAGAGCCCCGTTTTAATTGAAAGTCTTAGACCCAAAGGAAAAGAAATGCAATAGGACACAACAAGGTTATTAAGGTAAAAGTTCTGGTGCCAGCAGTTAATCGTCTTCCACAGTAAACAAAATCTGTGTTTCCACAGTCATTCAAAGTGCTTAGTTTTTTTTAACCAATTGCCATTACTTGTTGATCAGCTAGAAAAAAGCTTGAGTAATATTACACAATGGAAAAAAGCTTAATAGCTATAGACCGCTATAACACAAAAATTTAGTATTTCTGCATTTTTCTATTTTAAACTACTATACTGTAAAAAGTGATCATCAAAATGTAATGTGCAAACAGAACTAATTCTTCTAACTGATGCTGAAAGGAGTATGCAAATAACTCAAGACATTGTTTTATCTTATGTTTCTGTTCCAAATAGCAATAGGTTTATATCACTATCTTGCCATGCATTAGGAAAAAATCAATTTTATTTTATTATGGATACATTAATTTAGGAAAAGAATTGATTTTTTTTAAACTGAATATTTGTGGTTTGATGGCCAACTTCATATTTTTTAATTTTCCATTTTTCCAAATTAACTTATTTCTATACCATATCAACAACTACTAGGGTCACTGTCTCACAACCTCATGTTATTTCTCCCATGTAGACTAGAGATGGATAAAAAAAGTAGGACTTTAAAAAAATCAGATCATTTCTAGCTGTTTTATCAAACGAAATTATTGTCATGCCACCATCCAGTTTGTCTCTTCTTCAACAGCTATAATGTTTATGTAGGCCACACTGTTTTGATCTGTTCATCATCATCATCCATACCTCTGAATGATAAATTCCTTAGCAGGATCAAACAAGTTACCATGGACAATCCACTCATCCACTGTCTGCAAATACGGCCTTACCGTTTCAACCCAGAGAGAGAAGAGGAGGGATACCTGAAATGAAGAGTAAACACCAATTGTTGTGGGATTTTATAAACGTTGGGCAAAATTACACATATTATTTCAAATAAAATAGCTACTATACACTGCAGAGAAGCCAATCCAAAGAACTGTGTAAATATATATTTACAGTATGCACATGTACATACAATTTTTTAAAAAACTTGACCAGACATAATGTTGAACTAAAAGCAATGCCGTGCAGTCAGTTAAATGTAAGCAGACACCCTGCAACCTTCTCTACACTGCTTTCTCAATGCCCTTCAGTCCTAACCAGCAACCTTCATTATTTCCAGTCCTAAGTCTCTTTTGAGCACAAAGTGCCAGCCATAGCAGATTGTGTGATTTATAATGTAGATAACTGGAGAATAGGATGAGACCACGACATGTACTTCATTTGTGACCTAACAGACTTATAAATCAATTCTTCAGTGGTAAAAAGCTTCACATAAAAACTTGTTAAACAATATTCTAGATACTGTGTTTCATAATAAAGTAAAAAGTTAGATTTGACATACTGTTTGCTCAGATGCTTCTCCAACGTTGTCATATTCAAGAATAGCTTTGTAGAGTGTATTAAGCAAATGAGATGCTCTTACAACATTTCGAGTGTCAGGTGGTACTTGCGGTACTTCTGCTACCCCTGTGCTGAAAACTTTGTGAAGTACCTTAAGCTGTGCCAGTCGAGGTGACAACTTATCTACTACTATTGAAAGAGTGACTGTTTTGTCTGCAAAACCAAAAATATACAAAGATAACCATTTTTAGCAAGTTTATATATTTTTTAAATATTGTCTAGCATTTTATACAATTTTCATAGTTTAAACTTATTTGTACAACAGTATATTATTCTCACATTTTCCTATTATAAATTAAATATCCCCTATACTGCACCTTTGTTGATTATGCATTTCTCAATTTCAGTAAGCTCTTCTTTGAAACTAATGAAGTACTTGTACAAGGCCCACATAAAAGCTTGGTAGGTTCTAAATGGGGGTTCTGTAGTTTTCTTGGGAGTGGAAATGGTTCCAGGTATTACACTTTCTGAGCTGTGCCCCATCACTTCATCAATGAACTTCTGCAGCCTAAACACAACTTGTCCATATGCTGCTATCTGCTCCAATACTGATCTTAAGCAGTTCTACAAAATAAGGTTTTCCAGAATTATCTTATGAATATTAATCCTTTTACACAACCAGAAATCACAAGATATATAAAAGGTAAAATGAAAGTGACTGTTGAATTTAAGAGATAAATATAACAATTTCACTGTCACTGAATATTATCTCTTTTATGGCATCCGCCCACTCAGTTTTGTTTTATTAAATCCAAATATGTGTTGCTTAAGTTAAAAACAGGTGTGGAAGCATTATTATTTTTCCACAGGAAGTTGAGTTTCCTATCCCCCAAATATTCAAGCCCTCTAAAGACAGGCATATTAAATTATGATTTGAATAAAATCAACCCAGCTTGATCAAATAACTTACCTGGGTCAAATGAGTTACAATAATGTCATTTCTCACAGTCACCTTTCCCTCATTCAGCTGAAATATAAAGAGCTTTTTCACCCCTGAAAGAAGCCTGGAAAGCAAGAAAAGGTGAGCATTCTTAAAAACAAATTCATCATAATTATATGGATTAGAAAATATATATGTCAAATCCTTAAGAGGAAAATTTAGTCTTGCTTACCTGAAAATTTCCTTTCTTAGGGTAGGTCTACACTTTTGAGCTGGATGTGTGATTCCCAGCTCCAGTAGACAAACGCATGTTAGCTCTGACCAAATTAGTTTGCTAAAAACAGAATATAGCCGCAGTGGTATGAGCAGCCCGAAGTCCATGTCTAGCATCTTGAATGGGATCATCCTAAGGGCAGCTAACCCTTCCCGCTGCTCATACTAGTGTGGCTACACACTATTTTTAATGTGATAGTTCAGTCAGAGCTAGCATGGGTATATCTCCTCAAGCTGGGAATCATCCCCACTCAAAGTGTAGACATGCCCTTAGAGTTAGAGTTTAAGGCAAGAGGGAACCACCAGATCATCCTGTCTTAACTCCTGTAAAATCACAGGCCACTAAACACCACCCAGTCCCTGCCAAGCCCAACAACCAGAATTAGACCAAAGTACTATAGCCTTCAGGAAACAACAATTGTGTGCCACAAGTAGAGAACAGGATAGACCAAGGTGCACCAATAACCGAGGCCCTTGCACTGGCAAGGAATTGATATAGTGCTATAAGTCCAGATGATCCTAGCAAGTGACCCATGTTGCAAAGGAAGATGAAAACCCTCCCCCCAGTGTCCCTTCCTATCTACTCTGGGGGAAATCCCTTTCTGATCCCACATATGGTGATCAGTTATACCTTGAGCATGTGAGCAACACCCACCAGCCAAGCACCTAAGAAAGAGAATTCCCCATACCACCTCAGGGCATCAGTCCCCCCCAATCCAGTGTTCCATCTCCAGCAATGGCCATTTTTCTTCAAAGTAATAAGATCCACAGATTCATTCAATGGTACTTCAGCCTGCTTGCAGTCTGGGAACAGAACTAGACCTGTCAGTCACTGGCAGCATGGGAATACCCAAGTATACTTTGAGGAAAAAACAGAACATTTTAAATTCCACATAATGAAAACAAACCCAAATCCTTGGATGACAATTTCCATCTCTGAGATCCATTTGTCTCCATGGTCAGCCAGATCTGTGAATCATATTACATTCTCAAAAAAAGGATATTTTCAGCTAAGCAAGGGTAAATTTTCCTGTTCTTCTTCATGCTAAAATCCACAGATATGTTACAATGGGATTTTCATAGCAGTGTTCCTCCAAAATGGGAAGTAGGATCATTCTTTAAATATGGACATCCCAAACTAGGTAGATAATACATAAATATCTCCTCCACCTTCTCTTGGGCACTAGGGCATACAGAAGACTTGGCCAAAAGGAAATAAATGGCACTGGCCAAGATTCGATGACCAATATGCAGACTTAGTGAATTAATGGCTGTCCAGCAGATCTCAATGCAGGAGATATAACTACTCTGCCTTGAGATTGCCAGTGCTCCTAAAGACAGGACTTTGATGCTCAACAAGAGGAGGAATATTTCTTGAACTTACTTAGGGAATGACAGTTTGAGGACTACCTGGCTAAATTAAAAGTACAATACTGTTCGTATTAGAGAAATCTCCTAACTTCAAATAAAATGAATGACAGAACAGGTTCTGCCCCCAAGCTGCAAGCAGGTTGAAGTACCATTGTAAGAGACCTGTGGACCTTATCACAAAGAATGGGACATCACGTTAAATTGTTGTCTTAAAAAGTCTTATGTTGGGAATTACTTTCTGTAAGACTTAAAATTCTAAAATTCATTTAAGATAACTCACATTATAATACATAAATATTTATAAATTGGATTTCCAGCCTGACAACTGAGTCCCTAACAACAATCATAGCAGCAACAACAACAACAAAAAATTGAATTAAAAATCATTAAAACATCCTCAAATCCTGTCAGTGGCAAACCTATAGGATAAGAAAAAACCTGGACAAAAAACTCTTCAACTTCTCAACAAACCCACGTCTGGTAGATTGTTAAAGGAAGAAAGTTTCAAAGATGTGAGCCCTCCAGTGCACATCACAATGTCAGCCATATCTTAAGCATTTAACATCAAGAACCGATGGATTGTTACTGCTGTGTTAAGACAACGCATAAGAGGGGCAAACCCTCGGCTGGCCATATAAGGTTTACTAAATTGTAACCTACATCTTAAATTGCACTTGGAAGCCAACAAAGTTCTGAAGCAGCAACTAGTCATACTCAAGAGATGCCAGCATCTTCCAGGTACCTTTCCAAGGTGGCTCTCAGTAGAGCATAATGTAGAAATCTAACATTGATACTGAAAAGGGGTGGATCACTGTGACAATGTAAACATCAGAGAAAAATGGTTGCAACCACTAGGCCAGCTTTGGATGAATAGAGGGCATGGTAGCATGACTATGTGGCACTACTGTCACCTGGGAATCAGAGAGCAATAATGGGTCCATTGTGACCCAGAGACTGTAAACGATATTGCTGAAGATCAGAAATACATTTCCAACAGAACACACGGTCATGGTCTCAGCTCTTTCTTTTAGAGGTTTCCTCATACCTCTCACCTGAATTGAGCTTAAAAGTATTTTTAATAATAAGAAAAATAAAATGACATTGACTTTTTACTCAACAAATCTGCTCATTGTGCATTGAGTCCTTTCACTTTAAGTGACAAAAATAAGTTTTTTGTACTGCACAGGCAATACAGTTATGAAAGAGTGAGCTGGCTTATTTTCTGGCTTGTGCATTAAAACTATTAAGAATGTTGCAATTACAGAATCTTTACTACTGGTGATGGGGCACAGATTAGAAAGAAAGGACACAGCAATATTTCTTTTCTGACACTGAAAGCCAACTGCAAATCTGTCTCCTAGGACCAATAACACTATGATGCAAGATTCTTTTATCATTTGAATATTAAATACATTTCATATACAAGTATTTCAGGGATTCCTGCTTACCAGAGTGTTTCCCGGATAACCTGTGTTTCAGTTACAAGAGTTCTTTCTTCTGGCATATATAAGGGATCGCTGCTGTACAAGTGTTGGTCCCTAAAAGAAGAAAATGTACTATTAATTAAAAAAAACTGAAATCATAGCTGAAGTGTTTACAAATAAGAATCAAGCAATAATCTTAAGGCTCATTTCTCCCCTAATTTACACCTTTGACTTCAAAGACTTCCATGAAGCTCTATAGGCTATAAACAAGAGCAGAGTTTGATTCTAAACCTTTTTAGAGGCAAAAAAATATGAAAAGCCACCAAAATATTATCCAGTCAAAGCTCAACTACCATTAACTTGCAAACATTTGATGTATTAAATTAGTTTTAGTATTCCAACTCTCAAATGTTTATTACTTAATATCCAATAACATACATAGTAATGTGATGAATCCACTTTTTTGACTCAATGATTATCAAATAGAACATGTAGCTATTTTAAATACATTAAAGTCAAGAGTAAACATGAATTTGGATCACGAATAACCCCCAAATCCCATCCCACCTCAAAGTAACACATGCCATCTCAAAAACTTGCGAAGGGAATGGAAATTCCTTCACCTCTAAATATGAACACAAGATCATAGGAAGAAGTTCTACAATTATTCATAGACCTTCCATGATTTCTTTACTGGTAGATAGATTAAAAGATTTTAGTGTAATATGTTAGGATTACTGAAGTTTTTAGTATTTTAATTCATTTTTATCACTGATAGTACTAGTTATTTATACAATTTCTTAGCTCAAAATTCAACCAAGCCAAATATGTTCACTGGCAGTGAATGTGCGCACAAACCAAATCACAATTTGGTATTGCCCTACACATGCTAAATTTGTCCAAACTGAGATTTGGAATTTGTGATGGACAGAACAGCACTAGCTTTGTTTTAAATTCTGACATTGGGAAGGACAGTAACACACAAGACATTTATGCATTTTTACGGGGGTGGAAGAACTACGACTGTTCAGCACAATAAGCAAAAGTTAAAATTATACTGGCTCATTTTGTTCAATTTGCACGCACTTAGTTTGCAATATATAAATATATTTTAAACTAAATCAGTAACAAATGCTAACTACATATTTTGGAAGAGCACACACATTTTACACTTTAACAGTATCACAGCTTAATGTAAATCATTAATAGTTCATTAAACCATTATCTGGCTTTATTTAATATCAGCGGTGAACATGTACGTGATCTTTTTTTCTTACCAGACAGCAGCTAAATTGGAATGTAGGTGCAAACTGTGAGAAAAACGAAGAGCTCTTCCTGTCCAATATTGAGGAACCACATGCTGTTCCAGCCAGCTGCGCGCATCAGGTTCACCCACTGGTAAGACATTTGATAGTCAGTGAAGGATTTTCATTTATGTAGGGAAGGCTTATAAAAGACAAAAAAGTCTCACTAATAAGCATCCAAACAATGAATTAGCTTCAGGATATAGCTGCATTCAATTAACTGGCTAATTACTCCTGTCTGTTTGCACTTTATTGCATGTACAATCATGGTGATTGCATGTATAAGTTAGTTATACACACAGGTGCCTGACCTTTTGAAAATCAGGCCCTAAAAATAAGACAGAGGTCTATTAATATTTATATATCTTTCCATCTTAAGGAAATGTACTTTATTTTAGACAATTGTTGAAACGATACATACAAAACCTATATCAAAGGTAACTTTAAAAAGTAAGGTGCCAAATACCAGTAAGCTCACCCTATAGTCAGGGTGTCCCTAATACTAGGCACTCAGTACATTACCTAAAAAATTTTTCTCCTAGTTTTATCCCCCATGACACCTAGCCTCACAGATAACCAGCTTCTATTCTAGGTGCAATAGCCTACTGTGCGCTCTCCTATAATTTCACAGCTGTCAGGGAAACCGACTGAAACCAATCTGAAGGGGAGCCATTAGTGTCACATTTATTACAAGCATTTTCATTCATTGAATTATACTATACCCAAGCACACACAAATGTTTTTCTTAATACCTGCTTTTATTTCAGTGTTAACATTTAATAACACAAGCTTTGTATTATGTCTAGATATATTTAAGTTGTGTTTATCTGATGTACATTTATCCCTAGAGCAGCATCGGTGTGCATACTTCCATAGGAATAAATGGAAGTCTTTCCATTGACTTTAATGGAAAGTAGATCAAACCTTCATTACACACAAATGAGGCACTACCATTTTACTCTGTTAAAGAGTAACTATAATACATAACCAAACTCACAACCTTAATTATAGTGACAATACCAGAGCACTTTAATATAGAACTCTTCCATAGTTATTGTTAGGTAGCCACATATGAGTGAGAATCATTTATTAGAAATCCATTTGTTATGATATCCCTCCATGAAGAGAATTTTGAATAACCAACCTTTCCATGTGACCTGAGACACTGTTTTCTTGTTTTGGTCTTGTTCTTCTTGTGGTGTCCTGTCTACTTGAATGCCAGAGTCTTCCCTGCTCAGAGGTTGTTGGGCATCCTCCTCCTCTTCACTTTCTTCAGACCAATCCTGTCAAGTATGACAAGACCAAGTAAATTTTTAGTGCAATGTACATGAGGGAAGGAAGTATACTCAGTCCTTCTTGGCAGGGAAAGTCAGTGTAACATGTCTACTTTCTGTCTTCCACTAAAAAAAAAAAAAAAAAGGCATGAGGGAAACTAAAAAGAACCCTGAAAATCATTTGATTTTTTTCCCCAAATTTATTTTATAACATGGCCCAAACTGTTAAGTTACAGACATCATCAAAATAGTAAGCTTTTTGGAGCAGTGACTTTGTATTTCTACATATCTTACTCCTAGGGGAATTCTGTGCCACTGCTCACGCGCAGAATTCATGTCCGCTGCAGATTTCTTTCCTTCCCCTGAGAAAAATGTTTTTCTGACAGGGAAGCAAAGGGAAGCTACAAGAGCAACCACACTCCCCTCTCCAGCAGGGCAGATGCATCATTTTGGGTGCCTGGAACAGCCCCAGAGAGGTAAATCACAAAGGGGTCACTGTACGGGGAGCTGCCTCCCCATCTGCCCAACTCCTGTGCATTCAGACCCCCATACCCAGACCCTCCGCTGAGCCTCACCACCCCCATGAGCCCCCTGCACACGTACCCCCACTCCAAGCCCCAACCTCTATGCACCTGGACCACCCCGTCAAGCCCCCCGCACCCAGACCCCCAACCAACTGCATCCGGATCCCCGTCCCACTCCCCCAGCACTCAGACCCCACCCCTCCCACCGAGCCCCAACAACCTTCACCTGGACCCCACCCCAAAGAGTCTCATTGCCCCTGCACCCGGACCCCTCACTGAGCTGCCCACATCCAGATTGCCCCACACAGAACCCTCTTGCCCCACACCTGGATCCCCCGCACACTGAACACCTCCACATTTGGATCCTGCTGGGCTAAGCCTGCCTGCACACATCTGGTGTGCCTGGCGCAGAGCCCTGGGGTGTTTCTGGGGCAGGACTAGCCCTTGCATTGTGTCAGGATTGGGTGCAGCGTGGATACACTAACTAGGATACACAATCTATACACATTTACTGAAGCAATTATATAACTTAACTTACATTTATTTAGATTCTTAATTTTTACTTATGTTAGAAAATGGTGAAAGATGCATTTTAACGGCTATTAGCCAGGATGGGCAGAGATGGTGTCCCTAGCCTCTGTTTGCCATGGGGGCAGGGGATGGAGCACTTGATGATTTCCTGTTCTGTTCATTCCCTCTGAAGCACCTGGCATTGGCCACTCTCGGAAGACAGGATACTGGGCTAGCTGGACCATTGGTTTGACCCAGTATCGCCATTCTTGGATTCTTTATGTTCTTATTTACTAACTGTTTAATTTTTTTTGACGTGTGATTTGTGTTAAGCTCTATTTGGATGGAAATTCAATCAAAATGCACAAAAACATTTTTCATTCAATAAAAGCTCAAACATGCTGGATAGATAAGACAAAAAGTTGATTAAAGTTTATAAAAATACATTTTGCATTTCAAAATAACTGATTTATTTAAACAAAGGAAATATTATCTGTAGTTAGTGAATTGAATGAATTGTTTCTGATCACCATGTCCTTCAAAATCTTAGAAATAGTAGATCTCATCCTCTAACACCTGGTTTTTACTCAAGACTGGAAAAGGCAAACAAACTTTCCTGCTTTTTCCAACTCCCAATCAGCTTAACCTTGGATTTACTTGTCATTGATCTGAAATGAAGAAAATAGGCTTCTCCACCTGCAGAAGAAGCTAATGCAGTCAAAAGCTGGTTTAACACTTCAACAAACTCTGGTTTCAAGTGCTTACGGATTGACTTTCACCAGTTCAGTGATCTGACTGTCTTTAAAACATCATCAGCAAGCATGTACTGCTTAGTACAATTTTTTTCTATTTAAATTATTTTAATAGATTAGAGTAAATTTAGGCCTTAACAGGTTGTCAAATTCTAATTTAATTTTTAAATGGTTTATTTTTAAAAAATAAACCTGTATTTAAATAAAAAACTGATCAAAAAAATCTAAACAGTTGTTTTTGTCCACAGTGATACAGCCTCCCGCCCTTCTGCGATCCAAAACATTATTTAGTTGACTTCCTGACTCTCCACTGCTCTAGAAAGAATGTGCCCTGCCATAGCTATAGCTCCCATACATCAACAAGCCATAAATTATTTGCTTTAGTGAACATCTATAATCCTAAATATCATATATACGGTCTGTAAGAACACAGTCAGTCACTTTTAAGATATTACTTACTGGTGTGTCTATGTCAGGACCAAAATCAATTTCTTCCCCTTCCATCAAGTACTTTCCCCAGTCAAATTCTTCTTCCTTTTCTAAAAGGAATACAAGTGAGACTCAATATTTTTGTGCTTATTTCCAACTTCCTCTATAACAAGACATATATTTTTCTAAAGGTGCAGACTGACAAGAGATACTCTCTTCCATTCAAAACTGTCACTTTCTTTAGCAATGATATAAAATTTTCACTGAAGATTAAGTGGTCTGATGAATTATCTTCCTGTTTCTTTCTCTACCTATATACATTTCTCCTGAAGTGCTCCTCTGATTCTGAGTTTTAGACTCACACAAATTTGCAATATGGTGTACAGTCATCCCATTTGCCTGATTTCACTTCTTCCTGCATCATGTCATATCTATTTTAGGCCTCAATCCTGCAAAAGACTTGCAAGAGTGCGTATCTTTACGCACTGTGAGTAATCCCAGTTGCTTCAATGGAACTACTCCCAGTGCATAAAAATGGTCTACATTCCAAAGAAAAACCTGCAGCACTGAGTGTCAGAGCCTGGGTCAACTGACTTGGGCTGTTGGGGCTTGGGGCTAGACATTCCCGCTTTGGCTGGAACTCGGGCTCTGAAACCTGGTGAGGGTCTCAGAACCCAGGCTCCAGCCTGAGTCAGAATGTCTGCACTGCTATTTTTAAGTACCACTAGCTCAAATGACCTGGGCTCTGTGACTCAGTGCCATGGGTTTTCCTTTGAGGTGAAGACTTACCAAGAGTAACACATGGACAAGTCTTTGCAGGATCAGGAACCCAGATTGTAAATTACTGAGGGAAGGGAACTTGTCTTTCCTTCTGTGTAAAAGAATATGTACAACCATAGTGCTATAGATAAATATTTTTAAATAAAATAATCACACAAACAATATAAAATAATATACTTTAATCCAGTAGGAAGGTTACTCACCTGTAACTGGAATTTTCTGAGGTAACCTCTGCATGTTCACACTTTTGGGATGTGCTGACAATGCAGTCCAAGCTGCGTCACTAGTGCATTCCAAGAGTGGAAATGTGCAGAGGCCACTTGAAAAAGAATTTTAAGATACGAGGCTTCTTCCCCTCCCCCACAGTTTCTAGACTAAAATGTTGTTTCAAACCATTTTTTTTTAATGGCTATTTTATTCAGCATTGCAAATGAATACTACAAGGATGTGTGGTATCCCAAACACATTTTTCTCAGGTGTTCCACTCTTCTCATCCTTTTATTCTTGATCCATTGGGGATTGTCAATTTACCGCCATTTGTTTGTAATCAGAAACATAGGGAAATTGTACAATACTACTACAAAACCGGGAGATTACGTAAAATTAACTCTTGATAAGTTAAGGTGGATGACTAGATGTTGCCAAGTTAAAACTGGTTAGAACAGAAAAGCAATATTTTTAATTTAAAATGAAAAGATTACAGAAATAACCAAACTGCATTATGTCAAGTTACTGCATAACTTTCCTATGTGAAATTACATGCGAAGTTACTAGTTTTAGATAGATTTTATTTTTGGTTTTGGCTCAGTTCAGTGTAATGAAATGGTCAGGATAGACACTGTTAGAAAGTGAAGTCCTTTATTTACTCACGCAGAAGATACAGCAGTAATGCAAACTTCCTCCAGGCTCACCAATATTCATCAAACCTCACGTGGTGGTTCCATAAGTGACATAATATTTCACTCACTGGCCCCTCTGCTGAGAGGGTATTAACTGTGACAGTCATTTAACACTTGTTCCCACTTACGGGAACAGAACAGAGATCACAGGCTTTAAACACAACACACCAAATGGCCCTCAGATAGCAACCAACGGGGGTGGATTTGAACGAGCAACCCGGATGAGAAAGTCATAACATTAATCTTTTCCCCCATCCACAAACCTTCTAGTTTCCAGTGTGTCTTAGATGTATAGGTTAATTAGATACAAGATTAAAAACCCACAAAAGATAACCAGTAGAGGATCTTGAAATGAATTAAGACATGATGTTATAAGACTGCAAAGGGGAAAAAAAAGTCCCATCACATTGTCACTTGTCTGTGTGTTTTTCATTTCAAATATAAAGATCTTGTAACCTACCCACTTCTTTTTCTCTTGGCTTTTCCACATAGTTGGTGTTGGAAGGAGAATCGGACAAGCACAGTAGGAGAGATAGTATGGCGTAATGAGCATCTGTCTTTAAAAATACACAAAAGAAAAAAAAGCAATAAATGGAATAAAATGGTTTAAAAGACTTTAGGAAATGAACAGACTAGAATGTTGTATGCCAGAGTGTGTAGTATTAGCCCTCACAGTTCATCTCAAGTAATGGATATCCTAATTTACTTTTTTTTTTTTTCCAATACAAACTGAAAATCTAGTCACCTAAAATTCTTGTTTAAATTATGCTAACCATGGCAAATTAAAGCACCTCAACTAAAAGTCTACATGAGGGTTTAAGGACTCCTCATCCATTTACTCTAAATGACTTCCACAAACTCATTTATTCTATACAGACAATGGTTACACAGTTATGCAAGACTATTAACAGGTCACTCACCCTTCGTGAATGGAACCATTTAATGATTCTGACATCTACATGGCGGGAGGGATAGCTCAGTGGTTTGAGCATTGGCCTGCTAAACCCAGGGTTGTGAGTTCAATCCTTGAGGGGGCCATTTAGGGAACTGGGGTAAAAAAAGTCTGTCTGGGGATTGGTCCTGCTTTGAGCAGGGGGTTGGACTAGATCAGGGGTCTCAAACATGCGGCCCGCGGGGTTGTTTTCTGCGGCCCGCAAGCTCCTTGTGGTCCTCCCCCCCCGCACCGTTTACCTAGAGCAGCTCCAGCCCGACATGCCCCGGGGCTCCCTGCCTGCCCTGCCCCCGCGCCGCTCCGGGAAGTGGCCGGAACATGGGGAAGAGGGGCACAGGGGTCTGTGTGTTGCTGTTGCTTCAGGCAGTGCCCCCAGCAGCTCCCATTGGCCGCGGTTCCCCATTCCCAGCCAATGGGAGCTGCTGGGGGCAGTGCCTGAAGCAACAGCAACACACAGACCCCTGTGCCCCTCCTCCCCCAAGTTCCGGCCACTTCCTGGAGCGGCGCAGGGACAGGCAGGCAGTGAGCCTGCCCTGCCCCCGGTGCGCGTCGGGCTGGAGTCCAACCCCCGAACCTCTCCTGCACCCCCTGGGAACAGAAAGGGGGCAGAATTGGGGTGGGGATTTCAGGGAAGGGGTGGAGTGGGGTGGGGCGGAGGGCAGCGGGGGAGGGAGGTATCAGTAATGCGGCCCTCGGGCCAATGTACTAGTCCTCATGTGGCCCTCGTGGTCATTTGAATTTGAGACCCCTGGACTAGATGACCTCCTGAGGTCCCTTCCAACCCTGATATTCTATGATATTTTGACCTTTTTAATTTAAAAAATAGCGTTTAAAAGCTGTTTCGGGGCTAGAAGGAAACCATGCACTTCTATTAAAGTCATAAAGTTTATGGCCAGAAGATACCACTGAACCATTTAGTTTGACCTCCTAAGCATCACAGGTCACCAGCACCACCCAGTTATCTGCACAATAAACCCAACAACTACAATTAGATCGAAATACTACAACCCTCAGGAGATTAAACTATTGTGTGCCGCAGGCAAAGAATAGGAGGGAAAAAATGTTATAATCAAATTAGTAGAAAAGCAGCCTGGCACTCATCAGGCTATACTACAATATCATAGTCCTTTTTAAGGCTAACACCATTCTCCTTACAAGGATCTGCCAAAGTACTTTATTTACAGAATCATCTTTGAGATGGACAAGTTCCACAGAGCCAGGCAGCAAGACACCCAAGTTCACTCATCAACAAGAGCAACTGCTAAAGGTCACCACAATTACCTTATACAACACTGCTGAGTGCTAAATACAACCTGACATTTCTGAGCGTGTAGACTGGCTCACGCTTTATTCACAAAAAACACCACAGCTAAAAGTACATATACGTTGAAAATCTCCGGGGTGGGGGGGGAGTATAGCAATTCAGGGTGCATTTGCATTGCTACTGTATAGTTGTTCCTTTTTCCCACATTAAGAAATCTAAACCAGTCCAAAGAAAGGTCACAGTTCAGTTAAATTAGAAATGAAGTTAAGGTTCTAAGCATGGGCATCAGGAAATAGAACACACAGCCCTACTAAATAGTATGACATCATAGAGTCCCTCTACCCAGCTCAGGGGCCTGCATTTCACAACAGCAGCAGCTTTCAGTCTTCAAAGATCAACTAGAACAGGTTCAGAACAACCACACTGGAACCAAAGTGACATGGTCCAAGTGAGAGCACAGAGTTTTAATCCAGCAGAAGCCCTAAACTGATCTGGAACTCAACACAGTTTTCCCACTGAAAACTATGAAATCCTGTTTTCTTAAGATGAACGGCTAGATTCCCTGTCCTATCAAAAATGTTCATGCAACACAGAATGTGGAGCTCTATGCCTCTTATCTGCAATGTTAATGATATAATTTAAGCCATGAAAAGTGCACCCAGAGACCATGGTGATGGATGCCCAATAAATACATATTTTAATAATAGGGAGTCGGTAGGTTATAATTTTAAAAATCAGCTCACAGAGTAGCAATCATGTAGCTTAGTAGTAATGTAACTCATTTGTACTTTCTGGTCTAAAACTGTTACAAAGTGACCAGCATCAGGATAAATGCAAAGAAATTAGAACAAAGAAGAAAATGTTACACACCTTTGTTTCTTCAGTGCTTGGAAGTGGTGAGTTCAGAAACTTTTCTATTAGTCTTTTCCAGCTTGCAGCTTTACTGAGGTCTGAATGAACAATCAGCTTTTCATAAATTCTGATTTAAAAATAAATAAATCTTATCAATGAATGCTTCAAATGAACAGAATTAATCAACATAGTAAAAATAAGACAAACTTACCCCTCTATTGTCCTCTCTACTTTGTGACTGCTTACATCAAGAAACCGATGAAATCTAGATGAGAAATTAAAACAGAATACAGTTTTTGCATTGTGCAAGGAAATGTTTGGGAAAAAAACCTATAGCAGGGATCGGCAACCTTTGGCACGCGGCCTGTCAGGGAAATCCTCTGGCAGGCTGGGACAGTTTGTTTACCTGCAGCAACACCAGCAACAGTCAAGAGGCTGGAGGAAAGGTAGAGTAGCACCCATCCGTACTATTCACATTACACATGCTAAACAGGAGGCTCTGAGGTGGGCAGCGAGCAAGAGAAAGCAGAGATCCACAAACATAATCTAGGAACAGTATCCTATTAAGAATACTAGCACCCTTCCCAGCAGCTGGTGATGATGGGTTGGGCTTCTTACCAGGGGCATTGTACCTAAACCATGCTGATGCATCCCTCTGTCACATTATGTTTTATTTTTGCCTCAGACTAGTAGATGTTTGATAACTATTTGAAGAGACTTATTATTTGAGCAGATAAACAAGTACTGTGTTTGCAATCTGGATCTGCAATGCGCTGCTAATGCTTACTTAAAAATATTAGATTTACACAAACAGTAAGAAGCCTCACTTGTAAACATCTACACTACACAGCAGTTGCTACATGACAAACATTCTGGCAGGTATCATATATTTTGATGTCATATATTGAATAATGGCAACTGTTAACTTTTAAATAAGCCCGTTAAATTGTTTCTCAAATCATTACCACCAAAGACATTATCACAATAACTGCCTATCAGTTTGGTAATGAACATATTGTAAGAAGTTCATATGTAAGATAAAAAGTTAACTCAGGGGTAGCCAACCTGAGCTTGATAAGGAGCCAGAATTTACCAATGTACATTGCCAAAGAGCCACGGTAATAAGTCAGCAGCCCCTTATCAGCTCCCCCCGCCTCCACTCCCATTGCCTCCCACCCACCGATCAGCACCTCTCCCTCCCTCCCCACACCTCACGATCAGCTGTTCTGTGGCATGCAGGAGGCTCTCGGGGGAGAAGAGCGAGGGCACAGCAGGCTCAAAGGAGGGGGCGGGAAGGGGTGGAGTGAGGGCAGGGCCTGTGGCAGAGCCAGGCATTGAGCAGTGAGCACCCCCCAGCACATTGGAAAGTTGGCGTCTGTAGTTCCAGCCCCGGAGTTGGTGCCTATACAAGGAGACGCATATTAACTTCTGAAGAGCCGCATGTGGCTCCGGAGCCACAGGCTGGCCACCCGAGTTAACTTCAGTACACTCCCAAAAAAGCTGAATGAATTTTAAGTTTCAATCCATAGCTATGTATGATTACTATGGTTTTTATCCTTAAAACACATATCTACTTCATTAGACAGATAGTAGACTCATAGTAATGTTCCTAGCAACTCTGAGATTTTATTTTTTTAGAAGTCTACTCCCCATTGATGTTTATAGGATCTTTTCAACAAGGGAGAAAATGACATGCTCCAAATTCTACAAGGATTTAGGCATGTGCTTAACTTTATGCACTGTATGTACTCCCGGTGACTTCAAATGGCGCTACTCACTGCATTAAAGTAAGCACATGCATACATCTTTGCAGAAGCAAGGACTAGTTGACAATAGGGGGGAAAAGAGTGAAATCGACTACATAAAAGTGCTGTCAATTGGAGTGGTGCGGGGGGAATCCCTGTTAAGATTACAATAATTTGAAGAGATTACATGCCATTTGTAACAATTTGTAAAACACTTCAGATGGAAGAGTTGACTATGCCCTTATAATTTTTTAAGATTACAGATTAATAAAGATTATGTTGAACTCATTTCACATGCATTAAGGTCAAAAGCATGTCTGTCTTTTGGAGAGAAATGTACACTTATTGAGGCAGATCTTGACTGTTTTTTGTGTGTGACATTGCTCAATTTGAAATATTTGCTCATTTCAATAGCTGTTATTCCCTCTCTTCCCTAACGTGATGCCTTGAACATCATGTTGAGTGTTCTGTCCAAAATCACTAAAAAGCAGCTTATTTTATGCCAACAGACTAATATTGTAACACAGCGGACAGCAAGAGATTTATAGCTGCCTGGACGGCAGCCACTGTTCCTCTGATAAGCACCTGTAACTAAGTCCCTGATGGTAATGCTGAGCCTGGATCTTTTTAATGGAGAAAATGCTGATGTTCTCACTGGCATGTGCCATGTTGCAGCAGACAGCGGTTACTTATTGGGCTGTCAGGAGAGCCACAGGGTCACACGAACATCTGGCCAGGTAAGTGTGTGACAGTGTGTGTGTGTGTAAGGCTGCAGTTCAGACAGGCCTGGCCAGTGTGTGTGTGTGTGTAAGGCTGCAGCTCAGACAGGCCTAGCCAGGGTGTGTGTGTGTAAGGCTGCAGCTCAGACAGGCCTGGCCAGGGTGTGTGTGACAGACAGGGGGTGTGTGTGTGTGAGAGAGAGAGTAAGGCTGCAGCTCAGACAGGCCTGACACGTGCCAGTGTGTGAAGGCGGGAGCGCAGGCGCGTTGGAACCGCCCCCACCTCCCCGGGCTGCCGCAGCCTGAGTGACCCGGGGCGGTCAGGGGCCCGCAGACAGGGCAGGCCGCACGCACAGCGGGAAGCCGCCCAGCCCTTGGCTGCCCCAGGGGCAGCGAGACCCGGAGCGCGCGGCCCCTGACCTGAAGTTGGACCAGGCGAAGATCAGCGCCGTCTGGAAGCGGCCGCCGGGCACCTCCCCGCCCTGCGCCTCGCGGAGGCCGGTCAGGCGCCCGATCAGCGCCCGGACGTCGCGGTCCTGCTCCTGCTCGAGGGGGCTCCGGCGCGCGGGCTGAGTGGCCATTGCCCGAGGGCAAGCGAACGCGCGCGCTTGGGGGGGAGGGGAAGAGGCGGCGGCGCGCCTGAACCGCCGCACTTTGTTTCTGTCACCGCCGCGCCGTCCTGCAGCTCGTCTCGCGGCACTTTCCCTCCTACTCTCACGAGATTCCCCACGGTAGTGAAGCCCAGCAGATTCTAAAGGAAGGGCTGCGGCGCTGGAGCTGTGCGCATGCGCGAGTTGGAAGTGTTATATAAGTAGAAAGCACGCGCTGGTGGGTGGGGTTAAGTATCATGTGACTCTGTAGCCTTGATTGGTCACAGTGCTGGGCTGAGGGCTCTGTCTCTACCTTATCCCAGCCAAGGGGAGAGGGGACAGAGAGCAGGCCTGGGAATTGGGAGACCCAGCTTCTGGCTCCATTGCAAGTGCTCACTGTGTGACCTTGAGCATGTTCCTCATCCTCTCTCTGTCTCCCCAGACACTTTTCTCAAGGGGCAGTGACAGGGAGCTGGCCTTGAGCCTCTCTGCTGCAAGGAGATGGGTTGGATCAGTTCAAAGTATTGTTATTGTGAATGACAAACATAAATAAGAGCTGGGTGGGAGCTTGCTCCATTTTGCATATAGCTAATGGCCAGTATTTCAAGCTTCTGTTAGCTTGTAAGGCCCCAATCCTACAATGCATTGTATGTGGGCTGGCCCCTGTGCTGGAATGGAGCTCCAATGACTTCAACAGGCTCCATGCAGCCCTGGGCTCAACCTATGCTCAACATTGCAGGATTGGGGCAAGAACAAGATCAACCCTAAGCATAATCAAGATGAACAACTGCCTGATGCCCAGCGCTTTGAATAACTTTAGTAACTCATTTCCTAATAACCCCACCCATCACTTGAACCAGAGGACAAGGAACGCAAACTACCATTTCACCCTGAATTGTTAAGTCCAACCAGTACAGACATGGGATCACTAAATAAATGCTTATAGATTTTACATATCTTTACTGTTTTCCTTACAGTTCACATCAGTTCAAAACTTCATTGCAGGTGCACAGCTGTATGTTTGTAATATTTGGAAAAGTTCCAACGTAAAATCATTTCAGAGTTCTGCAGTTGTTTCATTTTTAGTTCAGGAAAGAAACAAATTGTCTATGTGCAGCACACAGAAACAATATTTTAAGAGAATGGATAAAACATCTTGTCTATGTAAAGGTTAATAATCACACAAGCAGCCCTGTCAGCAAAAGCAACAGGACGATCATAACAGGAAGGAGATAATGTGATAACATTCTACTACAGGTTTCAGAGTAGCAACCGTGTTAGTCTGTATCCGCAAAAAGAACAGGAGTACTTGTGGCACCTTAGAGACTAACAAATTTATTTGAGCATAAGCTTTTGTGGGCTACAGACCACTTCATCAGATGGGTATGGCTACTTCCACCTTTTCATGTTCTCTGTATGTATATATATTTCTTACTATATGTTCCATTCTATGCATCTGATGAAGTGGGCTGTAGCCCATGAAAGCTTATGCTCAAATAAATTTGTTAGTCTCTAAGGTGCCACAAGTACTCCTATTCTACTACAGTAACTTTTGCAGCACATCATTTTGCTGTCTTAGGAGTGACCTTTTTTTTTTACTATTAGAGGTTGATCTAAGTTTGCAGATGACACTAAACTGGGAGGCGTGGTAAATACGCTGGAGGGTAGGGATAGGATACAGAGGGATCTAGACAAATTAGAAGATTGGGCCAAAAGAAATCTGATGAGGTTCAACAAGGACAAATGCAGAGTCCTGCACTTAGGATGGAAGAATCCCATGCACTGCTACAGACTAGGGACCGAATGGCTAGGCAGGAGTTCTGCAGAAAAGGACCTGGGGGTTACAGTGGACGAGAAGCTGGATATGAGTCGACAGTGTGCTCTTGTTGCCAAGAAGCCTAATGGCATTTTGGACTGTATAAGTAGGGGCATTGCCAGCAGATCGAGGGACGTGATCATTCCCCTCTATTCGACATTGGTGAGGCCACATCTGGAGTACTGTGTTCAGTTTTGGGCCACACTACAAGAAGGATGTGGAAAAATTGGAAAGAGTCCAGTGGAGGGCAACAAAAATGATTAGGGGGCTGGAGCACATGATTTATGAGGAGAGGCTGCGGGAACTGGGATTGTTTAGTCTGCAGAAGAGAAGAATGAGGGGGGATTTGATAGCTGCTTTCAACTACCTGAAAGGGGGTTCCAAAGAGGATGGATCTAGACCAGGCCTGCACAACTCGTAAAGCGGCGAGGGCCATATTACTCCAAAGAAAACAGCTGAGGGCCAAAACCCCCCGGTCCCGCGGAAACACCCCCCCCCAGCACCGCCCAGCCCTGCGGAAACAAACCCTCCTTCCCCAGCACCGCCCCGCCGAAACAGCTAAGGTTTGGGGGGGAGGGTGTGTGATACTTTATTAAGAATTTTTCAATTAAATCAAACAATTTTTTAAATTATTTTATTTTTTTTATTAATCATGGAAAAATTAAAAACATCTGTTCCGTTGAAAGAAAACATTTATACTTTCATAATTACCTTGCAAATTTAATGAGAAATATTACATCTCTTTTCGGCAACAAGCTTGTCGCATTTGGGGGTCATATTTGAAGTGGATATTTTCATAATGTCTTCCAAATGGTCGTCAGTCAGAGAAGAACGTTGCTTGTTTTTATTCATGTTCATGATGGAAAATGTTTGTTCACATATGTAAGTGCGTCCAAAAATGCTGAACGTTTTCAGTGCAACTTCATTGTCCAGACTTTTGTAGAAGTCCCGCAAGCTGCTTTCTCTGTGCTTATTTCGGTAAACTGCTGAACACTGAAGTTCAATAACCTCCAACTGCAAATCTAGTGGCACTTCCTCTGGATCCACAGAAAAGGGATCTTCAATCAGCTTCAACTGGACGTCTTCTTCTTTAGACAAAGTAAGTCTTCTGTCAAATTCTTCAATCAAAAGAATGACGTGCTTTGCGTATTTTTCTCCTAACTTGACGTGTTTGTGCTGAGGGATACGCTGTGCACAAGTGGGAAAGTGACACATTTCACCTTTTGACAGCTGACTTCTGAAAAGTTTCAATTTCATTTTGAAAGCTTTCACTGCTGCACACATTTGAAATATAAGTTGATTTTTTCCCTGAAGTTGAATGTTGAGATCATTCAGGTGTGCTGTAATATCACAAAAGAAAAAGAGATCTTGATTCCAGGACTCATTTTCAAGCTCTGGGAACTTTATTGGCCCATTTTCTAGGAATTTTGCTACCTCCTCTTTCAAAGCAACAAAACCCTGGAGCACTCTTCCTCGACTCAACCACCTCACTTCTGTATGGTAGATTAAGTCATTGCACTCGGTGTCTACCCCTTCAAGAAAGGCTCGAAATGTCCTATGTTTTAGTCCTCTAGAACGGATGTAGTTTACAATGGAAACTACCACTGACATTACATGCTCAAATTTTAAGACTTTGCTACACAAAACCTGCTGATGCATAATGCAGTGATGTTTGGTTATTTCTCTCCCAATAAATTCTTCAAGAAGAGTAACTGCTCCAACATTTTTTCCGCACATAGCTGGAGCACCGTCAGTACAAATGGCCACCAAGTTTGTGAAATCTAATCCTGACTTATCATTCGTGCACTTTATCACTTCACTGGAGATTTCTTTTCCGGTTGTGCGACCCGTCATGGAGCACATGCCAGCAAGTTCTTCAGTAATTTCAAAGTTTTTATCAATACCTCTAATAAAAATAAGAAGTTGGGCGGTGTCTTTTAAATCGGTGCTTTCATCCGTAGCTAGGGAGTAAAAGCAGAATTCACTGACTCTCTGCTTTAACTGATCACTTAAATTGGTAGAAATGTCAGCTATTCTTCTCCGTACAGTCATGCGTGATAGACTGACATTCTCAAATATTTTTCCCCTTCTTGAAAATAGGAACCACATTAGCTATTTTCCAGTCCAACGGTACCACCCCCGAGTTTACAGATTCATTAAAAATTATCGCTAAGGGGCTCGCAATTTCTCGCGCCAGTTCCTTCAATATTCTAGGATGAAGATCATCCGGTCCGCCCGATTTAATCCCGTTTAGCTGGTGAAGTTTGGCTTCCACCTCTAATACTGTAATGTCAATCCCCTCTCCTTTATTCCCCTCTGTCCTGCTCCCTCTATTCCTAAGCCCTTCATTAGCCTTATTAAAGACCGATGCAAAATATTCATTTAGATATTGTGCCATGCCTAAATTATCCTTAATCTCCACTCCATCTACATTCTTCAGCGGTCCCACTTCCTCTTTCTTTGTTTTCTTCCTATTTATGTGGCTATAAAACCTCTTACTATTGGATTTAATTCCCCTCGCAAGGTCCAACTCTACACGGCTTTTGGCCTTTCTCACCGCATCCCTACATGCTCTGACCTCAATAAGGTAGGTTTTTTTGCCGATCCCTCCCCCCTTCCATTCTTTGTACGCTTTCTGTTTTTTCTTAATTGCCTGTTTGAGACGCCCACTCATCCAGCTAGGTCTAAATCTCCTGCCTAATAACCGTTTTCCCTTTCTCGGGATACAGGCCTCGGACAGCTCGTGCAACTTCAACTTGAAACAATCCCAGGCGTCATCTGCCTTTAGATCCCTAAGTATGTTAGCCCAATCCACTTCCCTAAGTAGTTGCCTTAATTTATTAAAATTGGCCTTTTTGAAATCATAAACCTTAGTCACAGTTTTATTTCTGTTAATCCTTCCATTTAGTTTAAACTGAATCAGCTCATGGTCACTCGAGCCAAGGTTGTCCCCTACAACCATTTCCTCAACGAGGTCCTCACCACTCACCAGCACCAAATCTAAAATTGCATTCCCCCTCGTCGGTTCAGTTACTACTTGATGAAGGAATTCATCTGCTAGCACGTCTAAGAACATCTGAGCCCTATTATTGTTACTAGCATTTGTTCCCCAATCTATATCTGGGAAGTTAAAGTCCCTCATAATTACACAGTTCTTATTAGTTTTTACTTGCCT